TGAACCATTAATACATAGTAGGTGATTCGCAATGCGCAGTATACCTACGCGTCAAACGTACGATGATTGAAGGCTACGGGAGGTCTCAAGATAATGACAAACGTAGTCCACGTGTACCACCGCACCCGTGCATTGGGATACGTAAAAATAGAAGCGAGCATGACCACGTGTGAAGGATTGTTTTCTTCACAAAAAAAAAAAAAAACACCCAGAAGTTGTGCATGCTTTATAGTTAAGATTACGATCAATCATAGTTAAATAAAAAGTCAAGCATAAAAAAACTTAAAACACAAAAAGTTATTTCAGTATTTCAGTCATTATATTTAAAAAGCATTTTGTAGAAAAAACATCATTATTTACTGATACGTGACATACAAAAGTTGGATGATTAATACAGTTTAGAGTTTAACCATTCCTTTGGAATCATACACATTTATGGCTGTTATTGTTCAGCGATGAATAAGTGTCAAATTTCGATGCCTAAGTACTTGCTCGAAGCCGCTCCTACGAGGGGAAATGGTCCAAGTCTATAGGCGGCAACTCTACACACCATGCTTTTTGTATATCTATACATATTTGTTAACATGGGCGTGTAAGGTTGCTGCTTGTAGGCTTGAACCATTGCCCTACGAGGAAATATGATGAGTGTGGTGCTAGCTTGTCGTATTCGAAGACTTTATCGCTAGCCAGCTGGAATCAAGACTCGTGACAAAATTAGCAATAGCGTCATCTTTTAGCGAAAAAAATTGATGCCTGTGAGTTTACTTCGCGTCGCTCCTACGAAGAGGTATGCAGATTATAGTGATATTTTAATGTCTTCGAAGACGTTAATCACTGGACGCTGGGCTCGCAATAAAATCAGCAATAGTGTTTTCTTTCAGAGAAAGTTTATTAACAAATTTGGGTGCTTGTAAGTTTGTTCCATGCCGCTCCTACAAGACCATACGCAAAGTGCTGTGCTAGCTTGAAATGAGACTGGCACCATGTAGATATATTATGAACTGACTAGAAAGACGAAATTTTGAATTTGGCAACTAACTAGCAATAATTAGTGACAAATTTTGATACTTATTAGGAATAGGAAACTGAACTTAGTAGTAATAGCTTGATACATCTTGCCATTGTTAGTAATTGATACTGTCATAAACATAAGTGTGAGGTATGTGCTGACAAATCATTTATTTTGTCTATGTTTGATTGTGCACTTCGAATAAGTGTACGTTTTCGATTTGCAGCAGTTAGACCATTAATGGCTGGAACTGCTAACAAGAACCGTTCTGTAAATCATGTTTAGATAGAAAAATTTTTTAAAATACTACCAACAAATCTACAATAAAAAGGTACGAAGACTGACAAATTGTTTAGCAACTATTGCAAGTTGGCTGTCATCAGATCTCAGAATACGAGTTGATTGGGTACTCGTTTTACTAATTTTTTTGTGAATTTTGTGCGTGTCCTCCTATGGATGGGCTCAGAATCAACATTGTTATCTAGAGAAAAGGTTGTAGTCAACCCGGTGGGCTCTCCTGAGGTAGGTGACGAACGCGTAGTCATGGCAGAAAGAACAAATAATTGACTCTATGATCTACCAATCGCGGGTACCTGAATACTTCTGTCTCACCAGGGGTACCATGCAAGTTCTTGTTTTTTATGACGAGAAAAAGTGGCGGGGTCGACACTTATAATGGGGACTTACCATTTGCCACCGTGAGACAGTTGGCTTCAAAATGCTCTAACCAATGATAGAAATATACGTGTGTTTTTGTAATTAGGACGTAAAAAAATTGGTGCTAGTATATAATAAAAGATGTTGGGTAAGAAAAACTGTACTTTATTAATAAATCTAAGATCTTACAAAAAACAAATCGAATTTCAAAAACGAAAATAATTTAATACAATATTTTCTGGGATTATTCGCTGAAGACTAAGTTCTTGGAACCATAAATATCGCACTCTTTGTCATAGCGAAACTGCTCCGTGGGACAAAATTCATAACAATTCGATTATGCAATTTGGCGACAATGTACTGTAGTCGCAAATAAACAACTTATAACTAAAATTCAACTTCACTTAACAAAATTACTTATCTGGAATTTGTATCCTTTTGAATTCAACGCAATAATTTTTAATATTTCCCATTGAGTATTTTAACTAAAGGAAAAAGTATTTTGGATTAATTAATTATTCCTAATAAAACTTGTTAATCGCGGGTGATCTTCGCAACGGTCTAATTAACTCAACTCAAATAACCAATCACGATTCTAGAAAAAAACGGAGGCACAGCGTAAGAAGAAACAACAGACAAATACGTTTGGATAGACGAGAGGCCCAGATTCATGAGAAAAAATTTACTGTACAATTTTAGCGGACAATTTAAAAAGAAGAAACTCCGTCTGTACCACTCAGCCGGCACTGAGGCCACCACACAGTTGTTATATTAATCAACTGGGGTCTTACTACCCACTTGACTTAATGAACTCGAGAACGAGTTCAATAGCTTCGTGGCTCAGCTGGGATCACTACTCAGCACTCGTAACAAAATACGACTACGAGTCCAGGGATCCTGAAGTCACCCCGAGAAGCTTTCCGTTCCCTCTCGTGATTACAGGCTACTTTTTTTTTAGAAGATTTTTTATTTAATGGAGCCTTGTCGACACAAAACAGTTTGTATGCCAGTCATAAAACTAACTTAACACTGTTTTGAAGTAATAAAATCAAAGTTCTTAACACAAGACAGATTGGAATAGTCACGAAATGTTTATCATAAAACCTCTGATTGTATGAATGTACCCATACATTTTCTTTTCTTTTGTATTTCTGCTGACTGTTTTTATCCGACTTTGTTCATAAGTAACTGGTACAATTATCAATTTTTTAATAATCAAAAACCGATACAAATATCAATTTATCAAATAATCATACCAATTGTTACATAAGGATTACAAATTTCAGATACATATCTTTTTTTGTCGATATAAAACCAGTTAATGTCATTAGTTTTTACATGGAGGACTGTGAGAAGATATCTGCGAATGTTGAGGGGATCAAAGCCCTTCGAATTTATAAAAACTTTTTTTTCTTATTTCATTGTTTCAATCCGCACATAATTTGAGCGATTTTTATGGACACCCTCTACTATCTCTATCTGATGGGTATTGATGCTAAAAGTCTAACTAGTAACGGATTTCTTTATCTTCCGATACTTATGTCATCCTATGTGTTCCTTTTTAGACCTTAACTTCGATTTTCTGAGGTGGTTGTCTCCCTGCTTCTCAAGGCGTGAAGTTTAAAACAAAATTCTAGCAAGATTGATCTTTCAAAACGCTGACTTGACGTGGAATGAAAAAATTACTCCATTAAATTAGCTCAATAAGATTTTCTTACTAAGCTACAACTGCTCTTAATTTATGTATTTTATTTCTTACGACTGTCCAAGCCTAATCTTACCCAGTGTTTCATTTATAGCTGACTGATAATTTTCTACTATTTTATCATACTTTTGGTTCCTAGCCAAATATTGCTGTTTGTATGGATTGGTTTATAAACAGAAACCTTTTTTTTTTTTTATTGCCTACTTTTGCATAGAAATGGGGCTAGGGAGTTGTCAAGCTCAGCTCAGAGAGTACTGGAAAGAAGAGTTTCTGATGAACAAAAGAAAGTATGTACGTACACTCTAAACCAAAAGACCAAATTTGGACGGTAGAAAGACGAAATTAATCGATTTCGACTTTTAAAAAACTAAATCATAAAATTTCTACTTTACAAAAACGAAACGATATAATTCGGTCTTTTTAAAAGACAAAATTTTGTTGTTTATACTTTACAAAAGAACAAATATCAGTTTAGCCTTTGCAAAAGATTAACTCGAATAATTTGTAAGTTTAAAAAGACAAAAAATAACAAATTTCTTCTTTCTAGAAGATGAAATTTTGTTTCTTATACTTTACAAAAGAATAAAAGTTGATTTAGTCTTTTTAAAAGAATCAATTCCATGTTTTGGGAGTTTCTAAAGATAGAATCTATCAATTCGTATATCGCAAAGTG